ATAAGTGTTGAGATAAATTGGCAGAATTAAGAGAATTAAAACATTTCAAGAGCTCAGATTATTTCATATGGAAACGGTTCAATTTTGTTTCACGAACGCAAAACATATAGGTTTATGAATATGAAAAGGTTGAGGTGGTGTTGATTTGACTCTGTGTAGGTTTAGATGCAGGGAGAGGAAAGCTACAGGGCTTCAGCCACTCTCTGTCCCACCTCTCCCGATGACCTATCTGAAAGTGATACTTAGGTATTTCAGTGATGGAGTGCCTTCAAACAGTGATGTTGATAGCTTTGGTATGACGCTTGACCTTTGATTCTAGTCTAGTGTTTTGATTTTCTGTGGCTCATCTGCATGCATTTGCAAACATGCAAACAAAGCAAAGATTTTTTTTACATGTACTGAGCGATGTCTGTTTACTGTGAATGTGTCTTTTCTCACAATCTGATGTCTATCAGTTTCCTCTCCATGTCTAGTTCTCATTCCTGGTTTGTGAATTGTTCAACAAATGAAAACCTGCTCTTTGTAAAGTGAACATCCAAGTCTAGAAATAATAAGAAATTAAAGGGAAACCAGTGGAGGATCTCAGTCATCTGTCAGGATTATATAATAAATAAAATAAAGTGTCTGATGTAGAGAGGAGCAAGTGTATTTAAACTTTATAGACAGTTAAAAGAGCTTTTGAATAATTTCCTACAGTTGCTTAGTGCAGCTTCTTTAGCTGTGGGGAAGTGTGATCCATTTTATGTGCTTGACAGCTAGAATCTAATTTTTGGAGAATGCAATTTTTGTTTTCTAACTTCTCCTCTCTACACCAGATAGTGCCAGATAAGTATTCCCAAGAAAACTTAACAAGAAATGCATCTTGGGACTTCCTGTTTACTTTTATTTGTGGTTGTGAAACGGGAATGTTGAGGAGTTTAATTGTTGAATTGTTGTTAAATATGCTCATAACTCATTGAAACATATTGGTATAATTGCAGTGCAGTAGTAAAACGTCAGTATTTTAACAAGATGATGTATTTCTGAAATGGATGATACAAAGGACCTGTATGTGCAGCGCGGAGCAGCCATTTTCTGGCGAGGTCATCTGTGTGTTCCGGTATTGCAAGTAAACTGAGATTGCTGTGGAATATAAGTGTTTATAGAAAATGTATGTAACACTTCCACATTTTTTAAAGGAGCCTTGTGTGATTTAGCTCTTTGTAATTTGTTCTGCACAGAGAGAGGCCACTGCCGTATTTTTGTGTTTGTATTTTATTTCATTTCCCTTATTCCTCGCACTGGCGCATCTTTTTATTTATCGTTTATCCTGTTACTTTGCCACGCTACCTCTCATACTGTTGATGTTCAGTACAAGTCCATATGGCTGCCGTTTCACAAAAGTGAAGGTCAAAGGACATTTTTGTTTATTCAGTTGCCATTGGCAATAAAAACTGCACATTAAGAACCCCAGTAATTGTGTCCTGTGTGGCTAAGCATTTCCCAGGCTACATTTAAAGGACCTTGTAATAAGAATACAAAAGAATCTAAATCTAAAGTCCCCGCCAAGCTTGTTTTTACAGTTTTTGCAAACAGCTGTGTTGTTCAAAACTTTTTCCACACCAAATGAGATTTAAATCTTGATAAGGAAAAACGTTCAGAGACAGCCATCCTCTCGAGCCTATCTCTATCAACTTGTGGTTGGTAGCTTCACTGAAGTGTGAGAAACCCAGCAAAAGTCACAAGCAAACCAGTGCAGTAGTTCTCAGATTGGTATTTGTGTTCAGAGCTGTGTCCAGGATCTTCACTTGTTCTAGTGCTTAATTATCATTCTAACATGAAGCATTAATTCTTGTTGGGTTTTTTAGTTCCCATTTATGGGTTTGTAATTGTTGAGCTTTGGATGCCCATTACTTTACTGCACCAGCTCTATTTTGGAGTCTTTGAGTATGTTATAGCTCCCTCATGGTTTCCCTCAGTGTTCTCTCTGTCTCATCTTCCTGCTTCCCCTCTGATGTGGTTCATTCATGTTTCATTCCTTGTTTCATTTTTCTAAGCTGTTATTTTCTTGTTTATTTTCTGATAACTACTTTCCTCTTGTGCTTTGTTCAGAGTTTTACTGGAGGTCTGTGCCCGTTCCTTAATCACCGTTTGTGTGTACACCGTCCATTGTTTTATCCTGTTGGTTCTGTGTATCTTTTCTGGTTTGCTCTCTATATTTTGCTGAAGTGTTTGACTTGTTTTATTTTGTTTTTGGACCTTGGACTCATCTTTCAGCTTAATAAAAAGCTTTTTTTTCCTGCATTGGAGTTCCTTATTCTGTAACCTACAGAACACAGAAATTACTTGTTTGGCTCAATATTTGAAACCTTAAACAAGCATAAATTGTAAACTTGTTGCACTACATTATGGAAGACCATCAAACCACCAAAAAGTAAATACATTTAGGAAGAATAATTTTCTTTTTTTTCTTTTTTGACAAAGTTGATTTTTAAAAAAAGAAACTTGCACGTGCACTAAAGCGAATAAAAATGCAACCCTAAGTGACATAAAACAATGTCTCTTTAGGTTTTGTATCACGGAAAAAAAAACTTTAAAGAACCGGATAATCTTCAGAGACTGAACAGTTTTATTAGTACAATGGAACTAAATCAAAAGCACGTGCCCAAACCAAGAAGGCAAGAGGGGGAAAAAAACCCAATGACGTAAAAAAAAAAAGACTTCCTGTGATGTGATTGATAAGTTTAAACCTCAGCTCTCTGTCTCATTCACCGTCTGAGACATCAGTGGCACCACAGAGCTGAGGTAATGGCACATTTACTAAAATATCACTGAACTCATGTCAGCTGGTGAATTTATTCATTATGAAAAGTTATAAACTTGATGCATTTTATTTGTTATTTTCCTATGACAAGTGTAGTTTACGAAAAGATAAATTCCAATCTATTGTAATATAGATGAAATGGTACAAATTTCATAATACTGAAGAAGTAGATACATTGTAATGCAAAATTCAAAGAGGCTTTAAACATATATGTTTTATTCATATCCACAGAACGATACCTGTGTTCAAAAAGACATGAAGTGCTGGCAGCTCCTGTTTGGGCTTTGGTGCTACGGCATCCTTGCAATGAGCAGCGGGATCGAAGGTATTGCTCATTTGTATGGAGATGTTTTTCACTTAGCTATGGGAAGTCATTAGTAAGGCAGCTTATGGTTTATCTCATCTTGTGGCTGTATCATATCATCCTTTTCTTCCTACTATGATTAACTGCATAGCTTTTAATGTCATACATTCCAGTTGTCAGTAACAGTAGGAGGTTCAGAGGTTATGTTTAAATGTCAAATAGTCACACATGTGAGCTATCATCATATCACATGTTGTTGGTTTTGAGCTTTGATTAATATTTTGATTATTAAATATGGAAAGTAGCTTGATGTTTATCAAGTAAAATTGATTTTTATTTCTATTACTGTGGAGAAATGATGTACTTTTTTACTCTGCTACATATTTGACAGCTGGATATGCTGGTTATTTACCAATCAAGGTTTTAAATAAAAAAATTAATAGAGTGCCTTCTTAAGGATTGAACCTTTTAAGGGAGTGTGCACATGGGATGACTGAGCTGCTAGCAAGAGATTTACCCTCTAAACTGGTGATTATCAAAATTCAATCAATCAAAATGTATTTATATAGCACATTTTAAAGACCGAAGTACACCAAAGTGCTTTCCAGTAAAATCATGATACAGATAAAAAAATCACAATATAAAATATAAATTACAGATATAAATAAAATAAATAAAATATAAAATAATTACATAATCTAAATGCAAAGCCAGATGTAAATTACCCTAATTAGCCCTGAATGCCAGGTTAAACAAATAAGTTTTTAGACGTGATTTAAAAGACTGAATGGAATCTGATGCGCGAATATGAAGAGGAAGAGTATTCCATAAGCTGGGTGCAGCAACGGCAAAGGCACGGCCTCCTCTGGTCTTCAGCCGAGACCTAGGTTGCACTAAGAGCAGTTGGCCCGATGATCTTAGTGCTCTCTGAGGGCTATACAGACAGAGGAGATCAGCTAGGTAGTCAGGTGCCATATTGTTTAGAATTTTATAAGTAAACAATAAAATTTTAAAATCAATTCGGTATTTAATAGGAAGCCAATGTAAGTTGGCCAGAACAGGGGTGATAGAATCATACTTTCTAGTGCCGGTCAAGAGACGTGCTGCAGCATTTTGGACCAGCTGCAATCGCTGAAGAAGAGAAGACTGGAGGCCCAAGTAGAGAGAATTACAATAATCCAGTCTTGAAGTGATGAAAGCATGAATGAGTTTCTCCAGATCTTTGCGTGGTATATAAGGTTTAGCCTTAGAAATTAGGCGTAGTTGGTGAAAGCTGGTTTTTACCACAGTAGAAACCTGTTTATCTAGTTTGAAGGAACTATCCATGAAAACTCCAAGATTCCTAACAGCATCAGTGAGGTGGTTAGCAACAGGCCCGAGTGTGCCCGTCAGTTGTCCCAGAGGCATATTTCTATCAAAAACAATCATTTCTGTCTTCTTTTCATTTAAAGTAAGAAAGTTACGAGATAACCAGTCTTTGACATCCCTCAGACAATCAAACAGAGGATGTAGTAAAGATGAAACATCCCCAGTCAGGTGGAGGTAGATTTGAATATCATCAGCATAGCAGTGAAAAGAGACATTATGTTTTTCAAAAATGGAGCCCAAGGGCAGCATGTACAGAGAAAACAACACAGGACCCAATACCGAGCCCTGGGGCACACCACAGCGAAAAAGGGCAGAAGAAGAGGAATATTTTCCCATCATGACAGAGAACGACCTCTCAGAGAAATATGATTTAAACCATGATAGAACATTTCCAACCTTGCCAAAAGGATATCATGGTCAACCAAGTCAAAGGCTGAAGTCAAATCCAATAGAATTAAGACCACAGAGCGCCCAGAGTCAGATGATTACATGGTTAATTGTATAAGGCACAAAAACATAGGAGTATCCAGTGTGTGTTACCTTATCATACACAAGTATAGCATTGAAGTAATCAATACCAGAAACTGTGAAATAATAATTGAATATTTCTTTTCTTCTACTTTTTCTTTTTCTAGCTGATGTACCGTCATGGATGTGTGTGACTGACTATATACACAACATTACTTGTGTCTTCAACAACATCACTGCTATTCCATTGGGAAAGAACAAAACGAACTACAGCCTATATTTCAAGGAGAACTCCGAACACAAGTAAGTTTTTCTTAAATAATTACATAAAATACTTGATTCTTCTTACAGAATTGAAAGTGTGTGTTTCTGCTTCTAAATTCACAAACATGTCCATGTTCTGTTTTTGCTCCAAAAGCCCTTCTTGTCCACTTGTGGTGATGAATCACAATTACTACTGTGAATGTCAACTCAACAATAAGCTTTGGGCGGATTATAATTCCTATGAAATTGACATTTGTGATGAATCTCAATGCATCAATTTAGAAAATGAATTTATTTTAGTAAATCACAGTAAGTATGAATTACACTTGTAGTTGTTGATTTTGTCTTAATATGTTAATGTGCTTCATTTTTAATGATAGTCTGAAAAAAATATTATGCACCCCCTTGATGCTTAGAGGAACATTTTGATATACCTAAATATGATTTGATTGATATTTCTAATCAGTTCAGCTGAAACCTCCGCCTGAGCTTGTGGTCCAAGAAACAACAGAGACTCTCAACATTACATTTAAAAGTCGGTATGATGACCATTTATACCTTGGTGGTCACCTCATGTATGAAATATTACTTCAAACACCTGAAAGCAGTGAGAACAAAGTAAGATGAACTGTTATGTGCAGTATATTTACTAAGAATGTGTTTTATTCTAAAAGAATCAAACAATAATTGTTTCTTTAAACATTTCCACAGACTTTTACGGTTCCACCCCAAAAGAAGTTTGAATCTATTAATCGGAAATTGCACCTGAAAAATTGTGAATATTGCATTAAAGCAAGATATAGACCTCAAACATATAGTGAAACTTGGAGTGAATGGAGTCAACCAACATGCTGGGAAAACAAAGCAGAAGAAGGTAAAGGACACATTTTTCATAAGTAAAAAAAGGCCTCTGTTATCTGGAGCTTTCTAAAAATATGCTAACAGTAAAATTCAACTACATTTGCTTTAGCAATTTTATGACAATGATAAAGGAATGGATTTTTAGGTTTATTTAATGCTATTCATAATCACAAACATAGGTGGGACGCTGCTCGTGTGAAGCAGCCTTTTGTTGTCTTGTGAGGTGTTTTCTCTGAACAATGTTTATCAAAAACAAGTGCTGCTCTCTTCCCTTTCTCTCAGCGCTTTTGTAAAATAGCACAGATACTTGATAGATAATGGACTTGCTGCCATCTTTGTAGTGTGAGTCAATAATTCTGTGTAATTTCAGAACCAGAAACTTTATTATTATTATTGGCCAAATATCTGTTCCCACTGTGTCTGGTTTTGGGAGCTCTGCTGTTTGTATTCTACAGTCCAGCTGCAAGGTAATTCATCTAAGCTTTGGAATGATTGCATGTCTGATGAGGATAATGTGCCTCTTATTCATATTTTGTTTCTGTGTGGCAGGATGAAGATAAAAACTCTGTCCCACACGCCATCCCCGGCTCCTTTCTTTCAGCCTCTGTATCAGCAACATAAAGGTGATCTCCAGGTAAGGAGATAACATGAGTGATTTCTGAAGAAGCTTAATTTTAACTTCTATTAAAATCAATTAAGTGCAGGAATCCTAACATAAGGGTCACAATGGAAGCACAGTGCAAAATGACACGTTAGAAATGAGATGTAAGAAGACCACATAATTAATGATAGATGTGTATAAGCTTTATACACATCTATCACATAGTAATGATAACTTCACAGTGAATTGGTCAAGGTCCATGGGTAGGCAGATAATCTGCTGTGGTTACCCCTAACAGGAACATCTCTGGCATCCTTATTTATTTGATGTGTCAGTCAAAGACAGCATTCATAGTGTTTGTGACACTTTAGTAACATTCTGATGCTGCAAAAAATGTGAATACCAGCATATTGTCAAACTAGAAATGCAAACATGCTGAGTTTAGTGTAAGGATGTGTTCTGTCTATCATGTTGACCATCTGGTAACTGGTGATAAAAGAAAGCATTCAGCAAAATAGGATTTTGACAGTTCATCAGTCTTACTGAAATAAACCCAGTGGCTGGAAAGCAAACCCTCAATCGTGTGACGCAACTACAAGTGACTTTAGATAAAAAGTCGGCGCATCATTAAAACATTCGTCCTGTGCTACCATATTCATACCAAATTTTATGGCAAATCACACAATTTTTGCTAACACGATTCAGTTAAATACAGTTCATGGAAGCACAATACTCAACTCGGCACTAGAAATATGAGTTGAAGAGTTCAAGGTAATCCCCTCAGAAGCAGAATGAGACCTTTCAGTCAGAGCAGGAGTGGATGGCCAAATGATAACAAACAGTGCTAAAGCCTCACAAACAAGCATGAGAAGTCTGTTTCTGTTCATGTAGCGGTTCTACAAATGTCCCTCCTTGAGTTAGTTGTTAGACTTTATGATACTGTGTATCTGGCTGCTGTGAGACCAGAAATGAACCACTCAAATATGGTTGCAATGACAGATGGTAAAAACTGCAAGTAAAAAAATAAACACCCTAAGTCAAATTTGTAACGGCAGCATGTTACCATGACAAACCATTAAACATCTATACTGCATTGGTGCTTCATATTCTGAGAGTGCAGGTAGTACACAAGTGTGCTTTGTTCTACTGCGTCACACCTGATGCATCTTCATTTTGTTTAATTTGCAGGAATGGCTTTCTCCGAAAGGTAAAAATGTACTAATGCACAAAGCCGATGAGGGCATGATAAATGATAGAGTGGCTGTTGTGCCAAAACCCAACACGAAGGACCCAGAAGAGACCCAGACCTTCCTAAACCCTCCAGTGATTCAGCTGGCATTCCCTCAGTGCCAGACCTCCTACGTTGGCCTGCCTGGGATGGATATGGCTCCTGCTCCTATAGCTATGGTCTGTCCAGCTAACACCTCTTATACTCAGCTCCCCTGCTCCGTCTGGGAGAGGGGCAGGGAGGCAGAGATTGCCTCCTCTCCACCTGAAGATGTCCTGGATATCAGCTGTGTTGACTCTGGCTGCAGCTTTGAGGATGTGACACAAAGCCCAGAGTGCAGTTTACCAAGCAGTCCTGTTGTTGAGACTCTAGCACCATGTTACTGTAGTGATTACTGCATTCTTAACAAAACAGCTGAAGGTGTTGTTCCTGTTTTACTGTCTAAAGAGAGCAATGTAAAAGTTTCATCTGATTCCCAGCATGAGCGCGAGAGTTAAAGCAGGAAATGGTTCTGTCAGTTTGTTTGGAGCCAGAAAAATTCATAAGAGTGGTGGCACTGACAGCCACGGCTGTAGACCACATGGCAGGAGAGATTCCATGAAGTGGCTTGAAGCTGGCCAGTTCACTTGTTGCAAGTTGCTGTGTGTTCTTGATAGCAGCGGGTTTGTGCTTGAACTTCATACAACATTTACATCTGTTCAAATGTATGTGATTATCATTTTTTATGACAAAAACATAAAAAACACCATATAACACATAGAGTAGGCTTCTGCTTTGGCTGATTTGCATATGTTAACACTTGACGCATTCTGACTGCAGAATGTTAAGACTTGAATGTTTGTGAATTCCACTAGAGCTTTGGATGATATGATTTTCTGTAGCTGTATGGGGAAAGTGTTTTGTTCTGGGGGTTTTTTTTTTTCAATTTAATCTACCTTATTTGCAATATGTTTATACTTTGCATTTAGCTTTTACTAAGAAATCAACAATAAAAGAGATAAAGATCCATATCTATGCTTAAATCAGTAACTTTGTTCTTGTTTTACTGACTTATGAGAGATGTGTTTGGATCTTTCCTGGATCATTATCCATCTCCAAGTTGTTGTGCAGGTGATGCAAATATTCAGTGGAAACGATTGTTTTGAAATTTTCCTAAGGGAACAATAAAGTGTAACCTCAATACGAAAGTTTTACTATTTATTTCTCCAGTCAACATAACCAGTGCTGTTTTTGTGGGTCTTTTAGTCTAAAGCAGCTTTAATTTTTAGCCTGCAGATGACAGTCACCATGGTGGACTGGGATGCTTTGTAACAGCCATGGAAATTGCTTTTTCGTTTTATTCAGCACACATTGGTTTCTTTAACTGTCACTTCTAAGGTGAAGAATGATGTTAAATGTGACAGATTGAGAGGATACTATTTTCATACACATGCGTACAGCACACGGTGACAAATTTCTCCAGTTTTTCACACCAAAATGAGATCATTCAGAACAACTTTCTATTGATTTTCAGTTATTTCTACCATCTAATGGGATACGTGGCCCCAAATAATGCCAGCAAAATTCCCACTCACAGCATAACAGAGCCTCCAGAGTCCCTCATAGTACTGATAGATTTCTAATTAGTATGTAGCTTGGGCAGCAACACATATGTACCAAAAAAGTCCTTCTAGAAACAAATAATAATCGCACTTGCAGACCATCTAGGGGCAGAATTATTAGTTTTAGTGTATTTTATGTTTGTTTTAACTTTTGTTTTTAAATCACGTTTGTTTCAGTTAGTTTCCAGAGTGGATCTTCTTGTTTCACTTAAGTTATTTGTTTGAGAATATTTAGTTTTAGTTAGTTCAGTTTAGTCTTCTTAATCATTACTGTATGGAGAATATATGTCAGAGGTAAGATTTAGGAAAATCTGTAGCTATTACAATAAAGAAAAGTCTAACTTTTGAAATCAAGTGAAGGTAGTTTTAGTGTTTTAGCTTTTTTAATTGTATTTTTTAATAAACTAAAATATCATTCACATCTAGTTTTAATTTTCACCTCGGCTTTAATTAACTATTACAACTTTGATGAGAGCATATACAATCCATTTGTAGAATCACCATCAAATTGACTTTAGTCAAAAATAAGGTTTTGATTTTTTCCCATCCTGAAATTATATTTCTACCATCATTCACTGATGTTGTGCGAGTGTGTTAAAGATTTAAACTTAAAACTACAGTTCCCTGTGACTCCTTCGGCGGCTGCGGCCGAGCGGACGTTCAAACACCACCGAAGAAGAAGTCATTCGGCAGAATGGGGTGATTTAAATGTGGAGGTTTAACTGAGCTTTATATCGTATTTCTGGCCTCTCTAAGAATTTCAACACCAGGCTGTGGCTGTAGAAACTTTCCTTCCCCCCGGTGCTGCTGTCATCTGTTGGCGGCTCGTTGTGTGAGTAACTTTGGGTAATAACAAGCCCGACTTCTGCGGTTGTACACCATATTTGGCCGAAGAGGAAGCCGCGGCTGTAAACACTGACCCACGTTATCTGCGGCACCTGAAACAGCAGGGTGCAGGAGCACCAGAGGATGGTGGCCGAAAGGGACAAAGACATAAGAAAGCTGGGGTCCAAGTCAGACAAAAGTAAAAGTGAGCCGAAGGTGCTGCGGCTTTAGGTGGGCAGAGTGCGGCAGGATGAACTTTCCTGCTCTGTCAGCAGCGCTGAAAACAGCCGAACAACCACTGAGTCAAGTCTGGTGGTAAGTACAATGAGTCGATATTGAATTAGATGGAATCCACCCACTCATTTTTCTATTCATCTATCTGTTCATCACATGTAGGTGCAGCTGCTCCTGCACAAATTTCCCCCAAATGCCATGACACAGTGGCGGCTTTTCCCCGTCAACACGCCCACTGTGGTGAGCCCTCACCTGTTAAACAGGACCCCAGTGGCTATCATTGGTTGCAGGTGTGTGAGGCCAGTTTGCTGGACCAGCAGGGAGGGTAAGCATCAAGCCAAGTAACATTTGTCAAGAAAAACTATAAGAAAAAGATAAGCTGGGGCTGACTGAGTAATAACACTGACTAGGCAGAACGATGCTTCTCATGCGTGTTTGCAAAGTAAAACCCCCAGATAAGGCTGTTACAGTAGAAATACATTACGTGAGAAACGTGATTCGTGGACAGACGCCTGAAAAAACAGTCAGGTTTTAAAACGAACGAGGTAGTAACAGGTAATTTAGCTTCCCTCCTACACAACTACAGGTTTCAGTCGTTTGTGGTTGGCAAAGTGTGCATAGATTTACCCATGAAGAACCTGGGGCAAAACAGTGAGCTGAGACTGATTTACTGATACTGCAGTTTTAATGCCAGTCTTTAATCAGTCCGAGGAAGGACCTCCAAACACACAAGAACTTATCACATGATTTTCACTACACAATACTGCCCAAAGAACCCTAGAGAAAATCTGCAAAAAAAAATTCTACTAGTCTAAATTATCAATTCATTTATTCTCTTCCACTCATCCTTGTCAGGGTTGCAGGAGCCTATACAAGCTGTCTTCAGTTTGCACAGGTTGCCAGTCAGCCATAGGCCCAACACTTAGAGACCGACAACCATTCGCACCTATGGGCAATTTAGAGTTACCAGTTAACCTAACCTCACTAACTGCATGTCTTTGGACTGTGGGAGGAAGCCAGAGTACCCAGAGAGAACCCACACAAGCACGTGGAGAACATGCAAACTCCTGTGTGGAGTTTGCATGATGGTGGAATTGAACTCAGGACCTTCTTGCTGTGAGGCAGTAGTTCTAACCACCATGCTGCCAGTCTAAATTATGCTTTTTAAAAAAAAAAAAAAAAAAAAAATTTATATAGTAGTTTCATGTCAAGAGAGAGCATTTTGCCTTCGTTGATGGAGCAGTGTAGATGCACTGTGTCGTTGTGGATGTGGTGCAGGTTATGGATGAGGACGGTGAGAAGGACAGTTGTGCAGCAGAAGTGACAGATGGATTCAAGGTGAGGTGGGATTACATCAGGTTTTCAGGTCTGTAGTCAAATTAAAGAGGAGGTGGAGGTATGCACTGAGGAGAAGAGGAATGAAAGCCAGCAGAAGCATGACAGAATTCATGTGTGCGAATGAGACAGGGAGACAGATGTTAAGGTGAAGCAGCAATGAGAGGGAGTGTTCGCCCAGGGCGCCAAACAGGCTAGGACCGCCACTGAGCGGGTTGGTGTGGCAGAAGAGGATGCTGAGGATTGAGTGAGGTGGAGGCTGAAGAATAAAAATGAGAACTTAATGTATGCAGTACTCATTTTATACAAAAATTATCATGAAGCTAAAAAAGAGCATCGTGACAGATATCTTGAATGCTAGGAAAACAGGGAAGTGGAAAGAAAGGGAAACGAAACATGACTTAAGTGAGCAGCAGTCTCGAGTGCTTCACCTAACGAAGCAACAGCTGAACTGTTTTTCTAGAATTGTCTTATCTCACGTGTAGCAGAAAGGAGGAAATAGTCTGCTCAGACAAACACTTTGCACTACTGGAATCACTGTGCATGGTTTAGGCCAGGGAGCGTTCCCAGTGTGCTGGGAGGGAGCTCAGCCGGGGTCTTGGAGGTTAAAATCGGCTAATATCCAATTCAACCGCACTGGGTATTCACGATCTCTCTTCAGGTAATGTTTAGAAGACTTTACGGCTGCAGTGAATGTGTGAAAACTGCTTTCGAGTAACATTATGAAACTTTTGAGGGAAGTACTGAAAGTGGCTTCTTCATTTTAATGATTCATCGCATCGATGCTGAAGCACAGACAGCGCTGTGTGTCTAGGTGGAGGCTTTCACACCATCTTTGAGTGCGACCTGCCAAAAGAGGTTTTAGCACAAACGACAGCGCTGTTGAAAAAAGATTTTTTTAAATGTATTTAGATAAACATTTCATCCTCATAACTGTGCCCATTATTAACGGCATTTAATTTTACGACATTTTTTGATCACTTTAAATACATAAACAGCACATCAGTCAGAAGGAAAACATAAGTACACTTCTAGATTCAAATTGGAGTCATTAGTTCCAGATTAGGTGACACTGTCTAATTTAAATAATGTGCATCTAGGCTTTACTGCCACTTTAAGGTACTGGGGGTAAAAAAGTGTGGGGGCATTTCTTAGAATCTGGTCAAGAGCTAATAACATGTCTAAAATATATGAAACATATCATGACACTGTAAGAAACTCTTTCTTTTGGGCTGGCTTCGTTAACGATGTAAATTTCATTAAAATGTTGCAGGAGGATTTAAACAGCAGGAAGAAAATCCTCAAACATGTTGCAACAGAGACTGGTGCACATTTATGCAAAAAACTTCACAGAAATTAGTGCCGATTGCTTTCGTGGAAATAACCTCTGGTACCAAGAATATACTAAAATGAAAAATGTAACATGTGTTTGTGTTTTTGTTGAAAACAAATTTGAGAATATAAATTTCTCTTGCAGTGCCATTTAACGATCTATAGGCACTGTTTTAAACAGAATTATCAGTTTGCTTTTCTAGTTGTGGTAAAGAAGCCAAAATTAAAGCCGTAGGATTTATTTCTTTTTAACATAGCTGAGTTTCAAACAGCTCAGTTTGTTTAAAACTTATACATCTGACACTGTTGATGGCTGTCACTGTAAAATCAGCCTGTGAAATACATCGTCTTTAAGTCCAAACCTCTAGAAATGTAGCTTGAGGAGTTAAGTCACCACATGATCGTAAAACAGTGGTAACAAAGACATTTAAATTATAAACATAATGCACAAAATATACATTTTTAATTCAGTTACTTGTATATTTTTTAACTATCAGCCAGAACTACAAGCACCACCGCAGAATGTGTAGTCTTTAAAGTAATCTTTGTGTTATTTTTGCATTTCAGGTATTAGATTGTCAATACAAGTATCTAAAAATAGTCTTTTTTCCTGCATTCCTTGAAGTCCTTCAAATCTTTCATTTCAGTGATGTGTTGTGTCATTAAAAACAGTGATCATGGAGAAGCCTGTCACTGAGAAATGCATCCTTTCTTTTCCCAAGTGATGCTAATGACATATCTTTACAGCCTTCTTTCTACAGCCTGGTGCACAATCTTCATTTATTTGAGTTTTTGTCGGGATTTTCTCTTTATTGTCTCTGAATATTGAGTATTTTTCTTCATCACTTCGATGAATAAGTCACTGTTGCTAACAATCGGGCTATCCTGCCTACTGCCTTTCTAGCTTGAATACTTGGAAAAAGAACGATGGTGGGCCCGCTTACTTACCCAACAAAATTTATTCTACCCTTTTGACATTTGCTGAGTCAGAAAGATGTAGGTTGAAACCTCTTTATCAAGATGCCTTTTATAAATTATAAATATTTGATTCATAATTAGTTTTGAAGATGTTATCACAGTCACTACTTAGAAAACCACCAAGTTACTGTCCCTTAAGAAAGAATTCAGACCCCTGTACTTTAAAAAAAAAAAAAAAAAATCTGTTTTGGTTTTAGTGACAAAGTGAACTCGTGTTTTTAGAAATGTTTTGCAGGTGGCTTTAAAGGTCACAGGTCACGTTCTGGTTAAATTCTGGTTAAGTAAATTCAACCAAAAATTAAAAAGACATCATCAAAGCACAGATCTCTGGTGGTTACAACACCATCACAACCAGAGATCTGTGCTTACTGTTAAGAAATAAATCATGATACCACTACCATGCTTCAGTGTAGTGATGCAGGTTTTGGCACTACTGATGGGAAAAATAAAGAATTTATATCCCTTTAAGAGATAGATGGGTCTGAATACTTTTGAAATGACTGTAACTTCAATTGAAAAACACAATTAAATATTGAAACTTTTAAACACTTGTGTTCAGACATAAAGATTTTTGTATCCAGTTAAGTTTAATTATAATAGTGTTTTAACACATATCAAAGACATACTCTGCTACAGCCACAAAGTGCATCTGGTAAGTTGATCTGTTACCATAGAGTTAGCTTATATTAAAGACAACGTTTAAAGTCATGAGGCTAGCATGTGTGTAATTTAAACCTGTGAACTAAAAGCTCAGGCATCACACTACTCATCCAAGTGACAGTCTCAGCTGACTGCAGGTTTCCCAAATCTTGTAAACTGTACATTCGCATAATGACTGAAACCAGCGCCACTGAAGGAACAATGGGCTGGGAGGTCAGTTCCTTCATCATAATTATGGAGATTCTCATTAACAGTGATCAAGGCCTACTGATCAATGGCCATGACTACCATTAACAGATACTCTGAAGCTCCATTCCATAGATTTTTTTTTTTTTTTTACTTACAAAACTTTTTGTATGAGGTCACAGCAAATGAATCCCCCCAAAATGGGCATATATAGATGTGACTGTGAGCACAGTAGCTTGAGCCACGTGCTTTTCAAAGCTTCTGTCTGTC